GCATCCATGAACTTTGTGATGTCGCTTGGAGGTGAGGCGAACTCGATCGGCGTCGATGGAATCCCCTGTTCCGCCGGAGTGGTCGACACAGCACCCAGAGTGCTCGGCACCCTGGCTGCAGTGCTCGGCACTACTCCTGGACCGCTTGTCACCACTCCTGGAGTGGTCGGCACCACTGCAGGAGTGCTCGGCACCAGTCTTAGAGTGGTCGGCACCACTGCAAGACCTCTTGGCTCTGCTACGGGAGCGTTCGGCACCCGTCCTGGAGTGGTCGGCACCACTATAGGACCACTCGACACCATTCCTGAAGTGCTCGGCACCCCTCCCGGAATGCTCGGCACCACCCCAGGAGTGCTCGGCTCTGTTGCTGGAGTAGTCGGCACCTCCTCTCTAGTGTCTCCACCACCGTAGATGACTAAGTGCTCAACGACGAAGGTGCTGGTGAAGACGCCAGCTTCCCCCGTGCTCGGACTGTCCCAGTCCTAGACCCCCTTCTCATCGAACACGACGTCGCGCGAGACAACCACCTTGCCTCCGCGTGGGTTGTAGAGCCAGTACGCCTTGCTGCCTTCCTCGTAGCCGGTCATGTTGCCGTCGAGCTCGGAGAGGTTTCCTTGGAGTCCATCATGTGGTTGCTGACGCCGGAGCCAGGTACCACCGCTGCTCCTGCTCGTCGCCCACACGTCCGAGGTGGACTTGGGCGCGCGGTTCATCGAGATTGACATCCTTGAGAGCCTTGCCGTGCTCCTCTACCACCGTCACCTCTCCCTTCTCCTTGGCCTCAACATCGTGCAGTGCACAGAATGTCCCATCAGGAGAGTGACCTCATCATTATCATCAGCTAGCGCCAGATGAGCCTCAGCCTTCTTCTCCTACTTGCGATTTGGGCACTCCTTTGCCTAATGGCCCGTCTTCCCGCAACGTCGGTAGGCGTTAGAGTCGACCTTTTTCTTCTTCTCCGAAGAAGCCTTGCCGCGGCGCTTGCCATCGCCACCGCGGCTGGAGGAGGCTTCCCCGGACTTCTCCTTTATCCGGGCAACCCACTCCTCCTCTATCAGCAGCAGCTTGCCGCTGTCCGTCGTTGTTGTGGCCTGCTCCATGCGCTCGTCCACCATCCACAGACGGCCTATCACATCCTTAATGGTGAGGGTGGACAAGTCTAGCATCGTCTCTATGGAGAGAGCGATCTGGATGTACTTCGCCGGCACGCAGTGGAGGTACCTCGAGACCGCCTCTTCTTCGTTGATGGTGACGTCGTAGCTCCTCAGCTTGCTGTTGAGCGACTGCAGGCGGAGGGAGAAGTCCTCCACCGACTCACCATCCTTGAAGTTGAGATTGGCGTACTCCTGTTTCAGCAGTTGGGCCATCGCCTTCTTTGCGCGGTCGGAGCCGACGCACATCGCTGTAATGGCCTCCCATGCCTCCTTAGCAGAGTTCTTCGTCCCCAACGGCTCCCTGTACTCCGCTAGCACAGCAGCGAGGATAGCCTCCAACGCTGGCATGTCTTTTTCTTCGTTGTCGGTGCCCTTGTCAATGGCATTCCAGAGCCGTCGGGCTCTAAGCTTGACCTTCATGGTCACCGCCCACTCGCCATAGTTGGTGCGAGTCAACGTCGGCCAACTGGTGCCGCTGACCTCCCGCACCGTGTGCACGACGACCTCCTGTCGTGCCTGGGCAGCCACAACAACGCCGTTGCTGTCGCCCATCTTCAAATCGTTCTTCATCGTCAGCGGTTACTCCAACGACGGCGCTTATACGGCTTTGATAGCACTTGTTGGTTCCTCGGCTGCCCTGCACAGGTAAGCAGTAAGCTTACCAGCACACACACTCACTATGGTTAAAGGTAGAAGAAGGGGTGAGAACAGTACACACACAGTACAAGCCTAGCACTGGCCGAAAGCTTTGCTTATGAATGTTTGTGGCAACTGAACTGATTTGCTGCATTGCCTTGGGTTAATATATATATACAGATCCTAGTACCTCTATCAGGTACATAGTTGTTGGTGAGTACACCGACTACCTACTCCTAAGGTATAAGGGTATACCAACTGCCTACTCCTAAAATACAAGGGTACACCAACTACCTACTTATAGGGTACAAGGCCTACATCAACTATCTCTACTCTACATGGCTGAAATAAACCACCACTACTACAGCAGCAGGAAGTGGACAGCTGATCTAACCAGGTCGGCAGCAGTTTCAAACTGGGATGCAGCGGATTATGTCATTGCTGCCCGTATCAGGTGGGAAAACACCAGTCAAGTTGTTGTAATTGAGAACCAGAACTTCAAGAGAAGAGAGGTTGAACATCGAATGGGGCAATGATCCTTGTAGCTCGTTATTGTTTAGATAAAGTCTGTTGAGGGCATGGAGGTTTCCAATGGAATGGGGTATCGAACCTGAAAGATTGTTGTCCGTGAGAGAAAGAACTGTAAGAAGCTCAAGATTTCCTAAAGATTCTAGAATTTGACCTACGAAACCGTTGTCCTGGAGATCTATGATTACTAGCGAAGAAAGGTTTCCTAACCAAGGAGGGATGGTTCCTTCTAGCTTGTTTGCTCCCAACCGAAGAACACCAAGAGACGAGAGGCCTTGCATTGGTGGAATGCTTCCTTCTAGTCGATTTAATGCAAGACTAAGAATGGTCAATGCTGAGAGGTTTCCAAGTGAAGCAGGGATTGTTCCAGATAATTGATTGGCACCTAGAGATAAACGGGTGAGATTGACAATGCTACCTATCTCTATTGGGATTTCTCCTGTCATGTTGTTATATTGTAGGACGAGCTCTTTCAGACTCACAATGCTTCCAATGCTAGAAGGGATTTTTCCCACAAGCCTATTTTCGTCTAGGTAGAGCTGCTTGAGATTTTGCAGTGAGCTGAACTCGCTTGGTAGTTCACCCTGTAACTTATTAGTATCAAGAGCGATGATGACAAGACGACTGCAATTCGCAAGTGATGGTGGAATATATCCTTGGATAGAGTTTTGACTAAGTACAAGAGTCTCAAGGTCATGGAGATTACCAAGCTTTGGTGGCAGGATTCCATGGAAGTGATTCGACGAAAGGTCGAGCTGCCTCAAGTAGGTTAGGTTGCCCAAAGCCGTGGTGATGGTGCCAACAAGGTTGAGCCCGACGAGGTTCAACGCCACCACACGGCCAAGTCGTCTTCCTTTCAAGCCGCATGCCACACCAGGCCACTGGCACATGGGAACAGACAGGTTGCCCCATTGCACCAGGGCTCCCGACGGGTCCATACTCACGTGTGACTTGAACGACATGAGCGCGCCATGGTCGGTGATGTTGCTGCTTGTGGACACAGAGCCAGGAGAACATGCAAGGAAGACAAAGGTGAGCAAGAGCGGCTCTCGGAGTAGAGCCATTGCTGCTGATGGAGCTCTGAATTTGGTTGTTTGTTTTAGCAAGGACTGGGATGACTGGGCAGGGTGTGTTTGTTTTAGCAGAAGGCAACTCGTGGTACCTCTTATTTTATATTCAAAGGTAGCACTTCCCACTAGATTCAGCTAGAATCTACCTGTAGTCAAAATTTTCACAGACCAGAGACGAAGACTAGATCAATTTGATGTCCCTCCAAATGGCAGCTGGTGGGAAGAAGACGACTCGTAATATACTTTGAACGAGTTCAGTAGACTTTTGGTCAGTTTCACCACAAGGGAAAGGAAGGGATCCTAAATGAATGAACCAAAAGGTCAGAAGACCTTGTTGTGGATGGCTCGATGCCGATCAAAACGACGTGAAGAAATTGGAGATATACGTAGCGTGCATTGACGAGTCCACCCTTTTGCGTACCAAGGCAAATAAAAGCTGATACTGAAAGAAAGTAAGCAGTGGCCACTACAGTTGACGATTACAAAGGCACGATGGCAACTTGCCCCGGAGCCGGAGTCCGGAGATATGTTGCCCAGTGTGGACGGGAACCGGCACGAGACTGTGGACCGTGGGCCAGGCAGAGCCGCACAGGCTGGCATGTTTCAGACCGTTGTTTCCACTGAGATTGCACTGTAGGAGTACAAACCAGCATTTCAGACCGTTTTAGCTCTGTCGGAAAGGCTAGAGCGCATGAAATGAATCCACGAAGAATATGCAAAACAAAGAAAAAATTGCTACAGCTCTGAAAGTGAAAGTGAGCATGTTTCCAGACGTGCATACGCAATGCGAGCAGGGTTGACTTGACTATGAACAAGTGGTCAGGGAGGCCTGGATGCGAGCAGGGTTGAATGATCGCCCGGTCTTTTTTAATCTTGTGAGTCCCATATGTGCCTCAGCAATCCAGGTGGCCACTTTACGCCGCTAATTTTTTTTGGCAACTCACGACGGTTTGGTTATTTAAAAGTGAATCAAAAACCTTTTTAAGCCTATAAGCAAGAAGACAGGTATGTAGATACCTTGCAGAAGTCCTAAAGCAAGGGTAGGGAGAGCATATATAAACCCAAATAATTCAAACATAGCACCTTCGTGCTAACCAAACAATATGCGAGAATAAGAGTAAAAGGAAATGTGTACTGCAGCCTACGGCGACCCCATCTGGGTCTAGGCTGTCAGCGTATTTTGATGACATTTGTTTTCATATGTAAAAGACCATAAACCATTCTCATCATGTTGTATAGTAAATGTGTACATTGTTGTGATGATAAGCACAGGACAACTGCACAGCTGAACAAATAGTTCATGCCAACGTTATTCTACCAGTTTCTAACTCACGAGTCATACTGTGATGCACCACTAGAATAATATCAGCCTGCCACAATGTTCTTACACTTTCCGCCTGAGCAAAATTCAACTACCAATGTCACTGCCCACAGCATATGCAGTTATACATAATCCACATTTTTCACTATCTTAGTTCTAATCTCGGTTTAGAAAATAAGAGAGACAAATCTATTTTAGTCTATCTCAGCTCTGTTTCACCGGTACATCGTACCTCTCTCATATCAGGTAACAACATGAATCTCAGCACTCGGTATCCCTCTATGTTTTTTTTTATCGTTTCCTTGACCGCCTGGGAGCCGCCTCCTCTTCACTCTCGCTGTCATCGTCCCGAAGGGCGCTTCTACCGTACCTGTCTCCAGACTGGGCTCTGGCCCCATCTGCTCCAGAGTTTCCAGTGTTATCATGGCCTCTGCTGCCCTGGTCTGATGACGCTGTTTCGAACCTGTCCCCACGATCACCCCCTGGCCTTCTCTGTTCTCGCTTCGCAGCACGGTTATTTGGAGGTGGTGGGGGCATGAAGGGCGCCATACCCATGGGGCGATTAGGCCGTCGTCCTCCCATTCCCATGCCTCCCATCAGTGGACCACGGCCAGGGCCCATCATCATGTCAAGACCCAGAGGGAAAGGCTGCGGAGGCCTGCCAGGGAAGCCCATCCCGGGCATCGGGCCTCTAGCAAAGTCCCCAGGGAACCTTGGGCCAACAAATGGTGGGAAGCCGCGTGGCATGCCAAAAGGATCAGGCATGCCAAAACCGCCACCGAAACCAAAGCCATCACCCATCATGTTGGGAGGGAAGCCACGCCCTGCCATCATTGGCCCACGCATCATCGGCATTTGAGGCGGCCACATCATCCCCCTTCCTCTTCCCCTCCCTTGGGACTCTTGGCCGTTGCCTTCTTCTTCCTCCTCGCTTTCCTCTTCCTCATCCTCTTCATTGTCATCAAACAGCACAATATCTTGATTATCAGCTGCCTCGTCAGCACTGACTCCCTTTGCTTTTTCCTCCTCTCGCTTGGCCTCTGCTGCAATTAGCATAGCCTGAACCCATATTATAAAATATCAGACACAGGAAATGGACACTTCAAACAAGTGAAAAAAAGGAAGAGGCAACATATAGTAACTAAAATAATATATATCAAGTAAACACAAGTGGACCGGGCCTTTCGACAAAAAATGTACCAGGCTATTTCTCTTTTAAGCAAAATAGCACTAGCACCGACCAACATGTGGAGTGCTACTGCTTGTAGAGAAGTGTATATGCATTGTTAGTCCTTATTCCATGAAGAGAATACAATGTGCCATTATTAAATTTTAGTCAATCTAAAAGCAGTAGCAATTATCTCCATTAGAATAATAGTGTAAAGAAATATTGTAAATTTTAGTGATATCTTCCACCTCTTTCTAGCACAACCCTGCTATGTGAATCTTATATGCACATAAATTATGGTCATCCACAACCATGATTTGACAATTACAAAACTAGTTTAGAGTTAAGAAACAAGGCAAATGGTGCTCAAATGTGACTAGACCAAATCCTATAGTGTCAGTTGTGGTTGCAATGGACTAGGTTGATATGCCTGATAGTAAGAAAACAGAAAGGTAATGAGAATGTTAAAACCAAGATAAATGGCAATGGCAATAAATGCATAACCTACCGTAAGTTCGCTGTCTGGCTCCAGATAAAGCAGAGAAGCCAACTGCTCACCAATGAAAGGTTCTAGTTCCTGGCAATCTCTGCTGATCTGCATTAATCAGAAGTGAACTGAACAATTAAATCCTGGAAACTTTTTGAGAATGTAGATGTATAAAAAAAGCATACAATTTCAACAATCTAGTCAATCATCAGTGTGTGCATACCACTAGAATTTCTGTTACTTATCTTTCTGGCCTACATCAATTTAGAATATCCTACCGGCAAGATTACTTTTCCAGCTAGTGTTTTAATCATTATATAAACTGTACAAAAGTTTGAAGTTTAATCAACCAGCCAAACGTAACACAATATTATAATCTCTGGTGAAATATAAATCTACTCTCTCCGTTCCAAATTATAAGTCACTTTGACTTTTTTGGTTCATCCATTTTGCTATGTATCTAGACATATTATTATATCTAGATGCATAGCAAAATGCATGTACCAAAAAAGTCAAAGCAACTTATAATTTGGAATGGAGGGAGTAGACAATAAGGATGAACAACATATGTATGGTTTGTAGTTAAAGCAAAGTCAGCTCAGTCTTTCCAGGCAGGTTTGACAATGGCTCATTCAACATTTTGATAAAGAACAATCAAGATGGAAATATATCAAAAAATATGAAACAAGACAGGTCGTGAAATAGTGTTATATGTATAAGCTAAACCAACAGTTTCCACACTATGCCATTTTATAACATATAAAAACATAAGGTGTCGTATTTCAACGAGCCAAGGCCAGCGAACACCTAAGACAAGGTGATCCACGTACCTTAACAGGGAGGTTATCATTGTATGGATTGCGGAGATGATGGGTTTTCTGAAATGACAACTCACAAAGCTGCAGTGCAAAAACTGTTGTAAGTATAGACATAATGATGATATTAGACTTACCGTAAGGCTTTAATGCAAAAACAGATGGCAAGAAATATTCAATGAGAAGTCTTATCAGCCACAACTTCAATTAATGATTTGTTGAATGATATAACCATGCTTGTAAAGTGTAAACTCAACATCAATTTTATGGTCCAGTTCAAAAAAAAAAGAATTTATATCAATATAAAGGTGATAAGCCATATTCAATTGTGTTATGTCCAGTTCATAAAAAACGCAAACAGAACATAAACACAAGGCCTTTGGCCTACGCGCTTGCAAGAACTAAAGCTAACCAATGACTAGTTCATCTGTACAGTGAATGTAGCAGATCCAAATTTTGATATGGAAAACAGCACCCAATGGAATGACACTTCAAGGAATTAATACGATAGTTTCAGCTCTAAATAAATTGTCTGGGCCTAAAGTACATCTTAACCACAATTCCATCAACATATAAGTCTCACTTTCTATCAATGTTTGCAAGTTTGTAAACCTGAGCTTAGCTATTTTAGATGGTTTTCCCAGAGGAGAATTAAGTCCAGATTCCCTTGGGAACAGGGACGGGGTTGCACAGATGAATAGGTGGACAGAAAGGAAGATCTGCACTGTTACTAACCTAACCAAAAGAACAACATACAAAAGTCTTCATGCACTATAATGTGAATTTATAACCATACTGTCATGGGCCAGGGCTAGGCGCAACACATTAGCCAAGCTGCACGGCTTCCCCGCCCAAGCCAGGCGGCAACAGCATGAACTTATGTGATGGGTTAGTTTTTCAGTCATTATTAGTTGCATTAGGAATTTCCATCTGTTTGCCACAATGCCACATGGGCATTTAAAGGAGTAATGTGGTCTGTGAGGAATCGAACAAAAAGAGAAATCAATATCCATGCCGATCTATCTTCTCCTTATCCTGCCATTGTGAGGCTACCACCAGCCGACAAGGTCACTCTGTTTGGGCTCAGGGCCATCTAAAACAGCCCATAACGCATAAGCTATGATAATCAGTTATCAGCTCAAAAGTCGAATATCCCAACATCTGGAAAGGGCTAAGCTACGATTAAAGTGGTGATAAACAAACAGGAGTACATAATCAGCAAGAAAAATGCACCTTAAGCCACTGCATAGAGAAGTTCCGACCATAATGTGCTGTTCCATGAGCAGATTTCCAATTTCCACCACCAATGTAGCCACCAATCCTAGAAGTCATCTTTGCACACCCCTTGAAAAGCATAACATTTAGTCTAGTAAATAAATTTAATTGAACAAATTCAAAATAGCATTTGCAAAGATTAGATCAAAGACAGGCAAATACAACAGTATTCATAACAAATATAAACCTTCAGTATACCTGGAAATTGCGAGTTCTATTAATTGAGAATATCAAAATAACATTCTCAGTGGATTCAAAAGCTTCATTGAGTTTAGCCTCGTTACTCCTCTGTGTGGCCCAAATTCCTTGTTGAACTGATATTTCCAGATTCTCCCGATTGCAACTTTTAACAATGAAGTACCTAATGTTTTACATTTACCAACCCAAGACTGGATTAGAGAACCATTATAGTATAGCACAGCTGATACCATTAAACAATTAAATGGAACTTCTGACAAGATGCATAGGTGATGGTATTACTAAAATATGGGCTAAATTACTGCATTCACTCAACCATAGCGATAGGTACAGAACAACAACAACAACAACAACAAAGCCTTTAAGTCCCAAACAAGTTGGGGTAGGCTAGAGTTGAAACCTAGCAAAAGCAATCAAGGTTCAGGCACGTGAATAGCTGTTTTCCAAGCACTCCTATCTAAGGCTAAGTCTTTGGGTATATTCCATCTTTTCAAGTCTCCTTTTATTGCCTCTACCCAAATCAACTTCGATCTTCCTCTGCCTCTCTTCACGTTACTATCCTGGCTTAGGATTCCACTACGCACCGGTGCCTCTGGAGGTCTCCGTTGGACATGTCCACACCATCTCAACCGATGTTGAACAAGCTTTTCTTCAATTGGTGCTACCCCTAATCTATCACGTATATCATCGTTCCGAACTCGATCCCTTCTTATATGACCGCAAATCCAACGCAACATACGCATTTCCGCAACACTTATCTGCTGAACATGTCGTCTTTTCGTAGACCAACATTCTGCACCATACAACATAGCAGGTTTAATCGCCGTCCTATAAAACTTGCCTTTTAGCTTCTGTGGTACCCTTTTATCACATAAGACACCAGATGCTTGACGCCACATCATCCACCCTGCTTTGATTCTATGGCTAACATCTTCATCAATATCCCCGTCTCTCTGTAGTATTGATCCTAAATATCGAAAGGTATCCTTCCTAGGCACTACTTGACCTTCCAAACTAATATCTTCCTCCTCCCGAGTAGTAGTGCCAAAGTCACATCTCATATACTCAGTTTTAGTTCTACTGAGTCTAAAACCTTTGGACTCCAAAGTCTCCTGTCATAACTCCAGTTTCTGATTCACTCATGTCCAGCTTTCATCAACTAGCACTACATCGTCCGCGAAAAGCATACACCAAGGGATGCCCCCTTGTATGTCCCTTGTGACATCATCCATCACTAAGGCAAACAGATAAGGGCTCAAGGCTGGCCCTTGATGTAGTCCTATCCTAATCGGGAAGTCATCCGTGTCTCCATCACTTGTTCGAACACTAGTCTAAACATTGTTGTACATGTCCTTAATGAGCCCGACGTACTTCGTTGGGACTTTATGTTTGTACAAAGCCCACCACATAACATTCCTTGGTATTTTATCATAAGCCTTCTCCAAGTCAATAAAAACCATGCGTAGGTCCTTCTTCTTCTCCCTATACCGCTCCATAACTTGTCTTATTAAGAAAATGGCTTCCATGGTTGACCTTCCGGGCATGAAACCAAATTGGTTCATAGAGACCCGCGTTATTGCTCTCAAGCGATGCTCGATAACTCTCTCCCATAGCTTCATAGTATGGCTCATCGACTTAATTCCCCGGTAACTAGTACAACTTTGAATATCCCCTTTATTCTTGTAGATCGGTACCAATATACTTCTCCACTCGTCAGACATCTTGTTCAATTGAAAAATATGGTTGAACAGCTTGGTTAGCCATACTATAGCTATGTCCCCGAGGCATCTCCACACCTCGATTGGGATACCATCCGGTCCTATCGCCTTACCTCCTTTCATCCTTTTCAACGCCTCTCTAACCTCAGATTCTTGGATTCTCCGCACAAAGCGCCGATAGGTACAGAAGTAAAAAAAAATGACAAAAGTAAGCAAGTAACCTGACAGAAGGTGAACCCATAGTACTGTTATTCATAAAACTAAGTAACTTGCTAAGCTCCATATATATTTCAACAAGCAAGTCAAATATCTGATTACTATGTCTGTAAAACAAAAGGGATATTCTAACCCTTCTTTTTCAAGGGATTCCTCAAGAAACCCAAAAAGAAACGGAAAAAATGTTGATTTCCCAAATATTGCAGTGCATGAACCAGACATATAAAAAATACTAAACAAGTACAAATTCAGGTAATCAGGTTAAAGTATAGTGTAAACTGCATATGTGAATAATCCTGTATATTGTCTCCACGGGCAGCAGAGGCGTGCTCAATACCCTGTGTATGACATGGCCTGGATCAGACTACAGGTCTCCAAAATTAACCATTCATGCGATGTTCACCATCTCATGTGCTACTTGAACTTTCCACAACAAAATCCGTCTATACAAATAGAGTAGTAGCTTAGCAGTAACTATCATTACAAAAAGCTTCTTCTACTGAAGAGCTAAATATTGTGGAACCAACCTCAGAGAATAACTAGCTGACATATAACCTAGCTTTGTAATCCAAAGAGCAAAAATAACTACAAACTTTTTCTTTCAGTCAGTTATAGAAGACACAAGTTTGAAATTAAGTACAATTTATCAACAAGTGTCAAAACATATAATATAATATAGTAGTTTTATGAGATACGCTGTTGCAACCAAAACTAAACTATGTATGTAGTTTTCACAGTTCTAAAAGCTTTACAAGCATGACTAGAAACTCCACACACACCTAGATGGTCCTTGTGGAAGGGGTGTGGCGATTCTAGTGGCCTGATGGCCATTTGAAACACCTTGGGCCTGGTCATTTGTATTTGGCTTCTGCTGCTGCTGCTGCGGTGGCTGTTGATTCAGCATTTGTGCTTGTTGTCCACCAGCTGGTGGAGCCACAGCAGTAGCATTTTCTGCCGAATTTTGGTTAGGCATCCCAGAACCCTGTGGATGTTGGGGTCTCTCCCCCCTGCTGGTTATAATTATTATTTCTATTTTGACCGTATCTGTTGAAAGAGCGCATCTGCAAAATCTTCTGAAGAACTTCCTCAACAGAAGGCGGTGGCCCAGGTAGCTTGATATGCTTGTACCGGCAATTAGGACCATTGGGACAAAAACCCATCTTGTACCTGCAAAGTATGGAACAACAGATATTCAGATGTGACGAAAGATGGCAAGCAATCATTCTTAACTTTGAACAATGACTATACAAAAACTAATCCTTAGAGTCACAGCTTTACAGGTTATAGTCGTATGGCCATTTTTGTAGCAAAAAAACTGCCAAATGCATTGCATTCCTAGAATATCATATCAGTTGTAGCTTCTTTCAGTGAAACTATCAAAGTCGCTAAATTCTACAAAATTGAATCAAACCACATGTACCAACCGAAGATTAAGACAGACCCAGGGATCATGATCGCTATAATCTCAAACCCAAACCCCCTATCAATCAACACGAATTGGGCATCTTACTTAGAAAAATTACCGACGAGTTAACAAATTTCGTCAACCACAGCCACCACCAAGCTTATAAAAGCCACCTATTTCCCACCCAAACGTTAAAATCAACACGGGGAACCCGAACAAGTCGGGTGGGATCAGAGATCTCACATGTTGCACTCCTTGACATCGTCGTACGAGTGCTTGTACGCGCAGTCGGGCTCGCGGCACTCGCCGAAGTCGCGGAAGAAGCGGCAGACGGGCATGCGGGCCTTGTCGAACTGGTGCAGGAACCCGCACGCCTCGCCCTTCATGCAGAGGCCGCGAAGCCAGTGCCGGCACACCGTCTGGCGGTAGCTCCCGCGACCTCGGCCGCGCCCGTGCATACCCGGCCCATCGCCGCCTGCGCCGGGGTCGGTGGAGGACGGCACGGGCCCCCCGCCCCCGGCCGCCGGGACGGAGTCGAGGCCGCCCTCGAAGTCGAAGTTCAGTCCGCCGTCGCCGTCGTCCATGGGGAGATGTTAGGGTTTGGGATTATTTTTTTTCTTCGATTTGTAAAAGAGAGGCATACGAGGGGGAAGCTGAACAGTTCTCTCTCCCTCTCTCTAGAAAATCAGCTTTGCTAGAGATCCCAATTTCGGAGATATGCGTGCAGGTGACCGACTAATCTCAAGTGACCGACTCATATTCCACCATGGTAGATTCATGAATTAGATCAACCATTAGCTAAGATACAGAGAAAAAATCAACTTAATTTTCGAAGTTGGCTCGTGCTAGAACAAGGGTCTGTTTGGATCCTCCTTTTAACAGATGGTTGGACAGTTCAGGGCAGATATAGCGTTGTTTGGATGTTCTAGTTTTTGCCAGTTCTTAAGAGTCTGGTTTTTAAAAATTGGATGGGATCAAAACAGGCTAGTTTGTTTTTATAGTTTTTGCTAAATTCTTCAAAACCAATAAGCTTGTTGATATCCGGCCTTTGCTAATTTCTTATGACCTATAGAGCAATAAATGAAGACAGATTTTTAAAAACTCAATCCAAACACCCCCGACTGATTTTTGCTCCGAATCTAGATTAAACTAGAGACAAAAGCTAGTTTTTAAGAATTTGAAACTGATTCAAACGGGGCCATAAACTATTAGCACGTATTAGCAACTTCAAACAAAGCTAATGGAACTAATAATTAGCATCTCTCCAGCTAATAATTAGCAGGTACGTTTAGATCCACTAGTATTAATTTAGTTGCTACTCCATTTTCTTGATATATTGTTTTTATTATGCATCTACACGTATTGTATATATAAATACATAACAAAACTACATTAAAAAAATAAAATACCTTGTAATTAGAGACGAAGGGAGTAACTTTTTTTAAGTGCTAATAGATCTAAACAAGCGCTAAGGAAATAACCTAGCCAATGGGAGCTGTTTTTTTGTGAGGTGAGGAGCAAAACAAGAAGCCAGTTCATTTTAATTTATATGTGTTGGGTCTTTAATTATGTTGATGTAACCAATTGAGAGAGAAAATAAATGGTGGCACATATTGAAAATCATTGTAGGTACTCTTACATTTTTTTTTACAAATAGGCACTCTTACGTTTATCTAGAACAATAATCCCTTTGTCCTAAAATAGAAGTCGTTCTCGCTTCCCAAGAAGTCAAATTTTTTTAACTTTAACCAATAATATATTAAAAAAAACTATTGATATTTATAATACATAATTATTATCATTAGATAGATCATTCAATATACTTTCATAATATGTACTATTTTTTACAAAGCTAGTTAAAGATGAGTGTAACACCCCCGGTATTATCGCTTAATCAACTCGCTAAACTATGTCATGAGCATCATGTTTATGTGTCAATGCATGTGATAAAGTGTGTAAATCAATTTCTGTAACTCAAAACGATCAACAAAAATGCTTAACGAAAGTTGATTCAGTAATCATGTTATATCACTTAGGGTTTTAAAACAATTTTTATTAAGCAAAAATACTATAAAACATGTATGTGACACTTAAATAAAGTTGGAAGTACAAACTTGGTAGATGACAATGCAACTTTAACTTTTAGAAAATAGATGTTGTTAACTAGTGTTTTGGGAGCTCTAAAATCAAACTTGACGTTAAGATAAGCTCTTTTCGTTAAGTCGACAAACACTTGAACGATTGTTAAAATACCATTTTTAGCGAATTATATTGAGCGAAATAGTTAAATGGTGCTTAAATATTTTGCTCCTACGGGTTAGTATAGGGTATGGACTATTGCATAAAGTATTTGTTGGTTGAAGTTAACAAGGTTTAGATCTATTAAAAATTACGACAAAAGAGTTAATGGTGACTTAGCCTCAATTGAAATCCTTAACTTCTTACGAATGGAAAAGTAGTAAGACAATGCTATTTTGACATTTAATTTCTAATAAAAATGTTTAAATACTAGTCGTACGTTTTGGTATTGTTAATTGCATCAAAGCGAGTGCTAGAGCATGGCATGGGTCGATATTGTGTTGGATGTCACGTTGTTCGCTCTAAAATTGTCCTAACTTCACTAGAACGCGCTGCGAACCCTGATTCGATGCTCGGTTCGCGAACCGGCGTTCAGCGTGACGAACCCATGTTGGCACCTCCCTATCTCCCTTTCTGGTCGCTCTCTAGACATGAGGTTTGCTTTGTTAGCGAGGTGCTAGTATCGACTTTAGGTTCATAGAGTTGGTTGAGTCTTCATCGAGTTGGTAAGTAGTTTTTGGTCTGCTTTAATAAGCGTGCGTGTCACTGTTTTGTCCATTTGGCCCCGTGGGCACGGTTGCCTCGCGCGCGTGCGCAGCTGGCACCGGGCTCGGTCTCGGGCTGGTCATGACCTTTTCGGTGCTCGCACTGTTTTGGCCAGGGAACTCGTCAGCGACGTGGTGACTCACCGGTGTCCATCGTAGAGCGTCGCCGCCCCGCTCGGTCGCACGTGGCTAGGCCGCCACAATGCTTTCCAGCTTCAACTGTCAGTAGGGTGTACACCACGGTGAGCTACAAATGCTTCTCTGCCATCTCTACCTAGCCCGTGAGGGCGTAGGGTAGCTAGAATAGTCACGCCGTCACCGCGGATAGCCACTCGCCGCTGCAGCTCGCGATAGTGCGCCTCCGAGTCCCTAACCGCCACCCATCCTTGCGTGGTTAGCAGTAAATGGTTATCAGCCTCTTGCTTCCGTCGTAGCAAGCCTAGTTGGCCCGGCGTAACCGTCGTTGCCGCCGATGTGCCGTGCCGCTGCGCGCGGGCACGTCGAGGACCGCCCCGTTCTGAAGGCGAGGTATTCCGGGGTGCTTTGTGTAAAACTTGAGACTAGTGGAACAGTGTTGCATAGTGTCGTTTGAATTTTTAAGAGTACAAGCCCTCTTTTGCAAAATGGGCAGGCGCGCGTGGGCTCCTCGTCGTGGGCCGCTTGGTGGGCCGGCCTGCTACGCGCGTGGCCGCTTGGTGGGCCGAATCGTTGGCCACCGGCCCTTTTCTTTTTCTAAAGCGTTTTCTAATTAGGTTTTCAAGGTAAACTTGTAAAATCAATAGAAATTTGTGTATTTGACCAAAAATTGTGATACTAATTTTATTAAGTTCATAAAATCATGATCTACCTTCTAGCGTACTTGGTTCCCATGGTTCTAAAATATTTCATGGTTGCCTTAAAAATTTTAACATGCTCTAATATTATTTAAGCATAAACTTGTAGGAATTTTTATTATAAATTGGTAATGGTGTTAGCTCTGAAATTTTTATAGTAAATTTCTAATATTATTAGGTGCTCACTGTAATTTTTGTAGCTCCATAGAAATTAGTTTGTTAAGGTAACTAAATGAGTCATAGTACGAAAATATATATTTAATCAATCAAATGTCAAAAATAATTGGGGTTTGTAGAATGAAAATATTTTTCGGAAACAAGACTTACTTGGCGATGTGGATACGTAGACTAGTACGTTAGTCATTAAGCAAGCTCGTTAGCTCATGGAGCGTAATCGTATTATAGAGTTGTAGTTATCATTGGTTAATTGCGTCTCTGCGTTGAATCCACGTATATCATAATAGGAACAACGATGGATCGTGGAGATGATCGGAGTAGCAGAAAAGATGGTGACTTGATGATCATGCCACCAAGATGAAAGCTAACTTGATTATATCTTACCTAGGCAAGCCCCGATGCATAACCCCTATTATTCTGCACTTTATCTTATGCTTGTGTATTAAGTTTTAATGAGTTGAATAAAAACCACTTGCATATATATATATATATATATATATATCCTTATCCTATGAGTCCTACTAGTATATCAGTATCGTGTAGATTGCTATGCTATAGGACCCGATAAAAGTCGAGTGATTACCAGTCACTCACGAGAGATAGAAAAGATATTATTGTTGTTATTGTATTACTATCATATAGAATATATATGAATGATAATTGGAGACCAAACAGAATGGTACTTTGGATCTAGACTTAGTTAGGTATTCGAGCGAGGCTCGGATTGCACTTGTTTTGCCTGTGTTGGTTAAGGACCGGCTGTTGCATTGGATTCTAGTCAGATCACAGACTTATTATCTTAAGCACATATTTGCTTATAGGGGCGGGAAGGCTCGTTGCTCTCTTGTTATGGGTTCTGGCTCTTTCCAGACCGACTGATTGGAGGAACGGATGGTGGAGGTCTAAGCACCACACTGAGTCCAGAACTCAGATGTGGGGGCTTAGAGTCCAAGTTTGGACGGAGACTTGGACCCCTTGACAGGAGAGTGGTGGGTTGGTCCTGCTTGTGCCTGAGGTACAAGCGGGACGTGTGTTTTGGGGTACCCAGCTGGGATACATTGGTTCGCAAATCGCCATGTGATACAGTACGACTTGGCTACGATCTAGCACCGTAGTAAGAACTGGAATATGAAAGATGGTAAAATAGTTCTGATTGCTTACCACCTACTTGAAAGTAGCATAGGTGCTTACATAGAATGGTTAGTTAATGAATTAATGGTGACTGCTAATAAAATTGAATATAAGGACACATGTTTAGTAATGCTCCTGCAAATGCAATAAATCCATAAGTCAGATAGCCTTGCATATCATTGGAGTCTTTTTTTCCTCCTAACGGGTAAGTCTTGCGGAGTACAATTAAGTACTCAGGGTTTGTCTTACCCTGTTGCAGGTGATAGATAGATGCTAGAGCTGACACTTGTGTGCGGAAATCTCCTGGCGGGCTCAACGAGGATTTTCTCAACGTTGCGGACATAGAGTTTATTTGAAACTTTCATCTAAAATATTTTACAATGGAAAAACTTATAACATGTTATGATGTATATAACGGATCATCATGTTAATGTTTGACTTATCATTAAATGATTTTATTTCCGCTGAAACTCTGATAACCTGGTTATATTTTGCTGTTATAAACAATAAATATTATAAACAATAAATATTATACTCTGATGTTGCACGGAAAGTGATGTAAGAAATGGCTAAAATATTGTAAGCTTTATTCTCCCATTTATGATCCTATTGAAAAATGTAGATTTTCGGACTCTCCCTTAGGGTGTGCTCGACAGAACTGCCCGATGCATCTCACATTCGGGGTGTTTAGTATCTAATGGAAGACAAGCGCCTCCGTAAGTGATTTATTTCGGACGGTTCTGCCACAATGAGAAAGTTTGATCTTCACGCAACTTATAACGTCTTCTTCTTAGGACGGAGGGAGTACTTCAGAAGTACGGCAACTTACACATACGTTGTTGAAGGTATGACAAATGTAGTGACTTTCTGATCCGATTCAAGATTATGATTTTGACAACTTTGATAATAAAGTTATGACTATATAGCTTTCCGTGGAAGATAATAATAGAAACACATGGAAATGATTTTTTTTTCGCGAATGACGTGGGAATAATTATTGATGTATCTTTCTAGGATTCGACTCTTAGGCCCTGTTCGCTTGTCTGAAAAAATAAGCCAAAACACTGTAGCGGCTGGTTATGTGAGAGAGGAATACTGTAGCGGCTGGAAGATGCACTGTAGCAATGTGAGGAGAAGCAGCCGGACCAGCCGGCTGGTCTGAAATTTTCAGACCAGCCGAACGCCGCCTTAGTCATTTGCCTAAGGGTTAGAATGAGGCACTCCACTGGAATTTTAAAATTTTCATCTTACTTGTGCCCTTTATGATTTTGTACAGACCAATGTTGCAAATATAATTAATTCAATTAATATATTTTCATCATATTGCAGTATCTTGGTATAATTTTTGCATTCATGTACACTTTTGTCACACTAAAACATGATACTTTGAGTTAGAACTTGTCTATACTTACCCTGTTCCAAAGTAAGGCTCCTTTGGAACACATGATCGAAAAAATACAGGAATAGGAAAAACATAGGAATAGATAGGAATACATATGTAAAATATAGAAATAAAAAACATAGGAATGTTATAGGTATAGGTGTTTGGATGAACCACAAGAAAAACATAGGAACAAGAAGCAATGAGGTTGGAGTGGATGTTTTTTTCTATGATTTTTTCTTGTGAAATCAAAACAAAGGAAAGTTTTCTATGTTTTCCCGATGATCATTTCTTGTGAACCAAATAGTGCTACAGTAATTTCATCCATAGAAGTTGAAATTCTACATTTCTTCTACAATCTAAAGGGGTCCTAAATGATATTTTAGCTCCGAATCTAGATGTCTAGATTCATAGCTACAAGGTTATTTATTTGTAGGATGGAAGGAGCAGATGTTTCCTTGCTTTTTATCAACCGAGCGATACAAACCCAATGGCCGGGATGATTATGCTAGCTCTAACATAGTTTTCCCCCAACCTTCTTCCTCAATTGCTATGAGAGGCTTTCTTATTTTTTTTGGCTCAATCAACTATCCACTAAAAAAAAACAGAGTTAAATAGAGTCCAAGGAATGCAAAGAGAATTTGGATAATCCAAGTCCAATCCAGGCTCTAGTGGGCCCTTCCCTCTCTCGCTCGCTTTTCCTTCCTCGGGCGCAGACCAGGCGAGCGCCGCCGCCCTCCGCCAGGTCTTCGCAGGCGACGAGCACCCACCAGGTATGCACGATCCTTCTCCACCGAGCACCCCAAACCCTAGCGTAAGCTATCTGTATTCGGATCTGACCCAATTACAACATCATACCTACCAACTTCAAGATTTTCTGCAGAAATTATCCACCCCTCCCATCGAGATTCTTAAGTGAACCAGGCATCAACTCTTGTCTACTAATTCTGCGAACAGAATCCAGCAGTAGCATGTCCAATCTTCTTTAACCTGTTATACACATGCCATGCTCATCTACCAGAGGGGGGATCGTTCTTGGCACAATGGAAGGAGGAGGGCCACCAGGGCCATCCCAAGCCATCCCGGTTTCCGGAGACGCGTACTGCAACAGCTCCACTGCGCCCGTGGATGCTGCCGGCAGCTGCTCGCCGGCCGTCGCGAAGCTCCGGAAGCTGCTGTTCCGGCGGATGCTCATCGGCGTCAACGACGGCCGCTACTTCCACGGCCTGTTCCACTGCATCGACAAGCAGGGCAACATCATCCTCCAGGACGCCGTGGAGTACCGCAGCGCCGCCCGCCATTGCTCGCCTCCCACGGAGCAGCGCTGCCTGGGGCTCATCCTCATCCCGGCCGCCTGCCGGTCGTCTTGCCAGGTTGATTGCTCCGTTGAAGAGAAGATGTCGCTCCTGTGTTTGGAATGAATTGTGCTTCTGAAGATGCTATGCATAGATTGCAGCCAATTCTGTTATCTGAAAGGGGCCCTGCATGTTTTTTTTTGGTTGTACCAGCTAACATCTTTGAAGAACAAAATTGGTGTTCCTATTTTTAAAGAATTGTGTTCCTATTGTTAAAGAATTGTTTATTTGAAACTATTAGGAAGGGCATGGAAGGAGTTTCTAGGTATTGAATGATTATTACATGCAGATGTGAAGTGCTTCATGCATGAGCATTTCTATTTTCTATACTACGATGTAGAGTTAATTTTCCATAGTCTTTAGTTAATTCCAGAGCTACAACAACAGAAACAGGAGTTCAGAATAGTGCATATCAAAAGAAATTACAAATTGTTCAACTAGTGAAGGCTGAGGCTGCAACACTAGAAGCAAGAGCCTCTGATAGGGAATTTAGCTTCAGGACTTGTAAAAAGAGATGGGGAGAAAATCTGTAGTACATCAACTGCATTCAAACTCCTGAAGTTTAATTACAAAATCATTGACAGATAACCTCGGCCAGAGCAACTTTCACCGCAAAAATGTAAATGGTAGCAGTATAGCTATGTTCTATTTTAAACTTAAAAAATTGTGAAAGTAACAACAACTTGCAATTAGATAACAATCTTCTTTCTTGTATGATCTATGACAGTTCAATCCTGAAAATTCAGAACTCTGTAGCACCATATTTGGGTCTCAGATTCGCTTAAACAAATATAGCAGTACATATGAAGCAAATCAATGGCTTCTAGCAAAATGTAGTTTACAGTGTGAGCCTTGACACTACCCAAGTTTGCACAACTCTTAAGTGAAAGCCATCAATTAATTGACATCTTCACCATCAAACCATTTTAGACAAGGAATGAGTGTCACGACAAGAGTTCTGAAGTTCTCCCCATCAATTAATTGACATCTTCACCATCAAACCATTTTAGACAAGGAATGAGCGTCACGACAAGAGTTCTGAAGTTCTCCTTGCTGGCAATTTCATTTCCTTTGATATCAAGCTGTGCCAACTTCAGAGATCTAAAGAACAGTATGGCGTCCCAGTATTCCTCCACGTTGATATTTACCTTCTGGTACTCTTCAAAAGCTTCACTTGCTTCGATTTTGTGTGAGAATGGAGACGAGCAGATATACCGTGTTGTGTCAATTGAGTGAGCTCCAATCTTGTTGAAGGATAAATCCAGAACTTTCAATGAGATTATCTTCGTAAGGGGTTCAAGTGCTGTGAAACTACTGATCTGGTTGTTGCTAATGTTCAAGAACACAAGGTGCTGCAAAGCCTCCAAACCTTAAAAGAACAAAATGTTAGCATCCCAAAGCCACTGTTTCTCAAATCTTATCCTTCAGGCATTTGCCAATGACTAAGCCAATTATCTCATAAATAGAAATTAGTTTAATATAGTTATCAGTTCTGCAACTGCATTTGAGAAGCTATAGCAGACCAACTGCATTTGAGAAGCTAATTCAGAGCCTTGTTACACAGTTAAAATATCATAATTTTTTTTTCTTGAAGTGGACATAAGAGAGATGATTCAAATGCTAACCTTCGACTGATCTAAGACTATTATGGCTTAGGTCCAGCATTTGAACCCACAACAAGCGTTCAGCAAATCCAATGCGTGTTAAAGACAATCTGCAAAGTTGCACATGATTCAGGGGAGCTGAATTTGGTTGAACCTGAACTGAACAGTGCTTCATGAAAGTCTCCATGTCACATGTTAGCTGCAAGGAAAAGTTAAGTTAGACAGCAGCACATTATCCGTTAGCAAAGTCTCTTCAAACACTCTTTATGTTACCTTATCCATCAGGACTAAGCTCCGTTCATCCTCGTAGCACTGCTTATGAGATGGATCCAGGTGAATCAAGTCAGTGAAGAGCCCCAGAGCCTCTTCACAGTAACCCTTCCTTTCAATTAGAGATCTTCCACGGGATTTTATAGCAGCACAAGCAAGCAATAGCCGGGCTAATGTCAACTTCCCAAACTTGCTGGAAAAGAGAGTATGCTATGAGAATGAGGTTATAATTATGAAAAAGCAGCTTCAGAATGAATTTAGAGCCTAACCTATTGTCATCAGGTAACTCTCTGAAAAGATCTATTTCCTCGGATAGTCTTTCAAAATGCCAATTTGAGTCCTGTTCAACCAAAGCGCTAGTGATCTTTAGCAGATCAACAGGGATAGGATCACGGTTTCCATGAGACTGGAAGGATTCTGAGCAATTCCAGGCAACTGGCTTATCAAACAGATCTAAACCCTGGGCTGTGTCATTGCTAATCAGTTCAATGTCAAATGTAAAATGCACAGGACTATTGTAGTTAGAGCCACTTCTAGACACAATGTCATCCGAACAGGGTATGTTCACTTCAACAGAATATTCCTGCAAACTGCTACATTCATTGCTAATTTGGAGATATGCGGCCCAACAGTTAGAATACCCAGAGTCTGCCATTGTGAGGGGTCTCCATTGAATATCCTTACTGAACTCCAAATCAGACTTTAAGTTAACACTTGATTGATTTAATCCTTTGACAGGCTCATTAAAATAAAGAACAATGGGTACAGTCCTTGACCAGATGGATGAAAGTGTGTGCTGCTCAACTTTTTCCTTCATCAAAGAGGAAGTGAGCTTTGCAGCATTAGAAGGCCATGAAGCAATCAGCTGGGGGTTATCTGGACTAGACGTTTGAGCTAAAAGCCAGAGGTGATAGAACCATCCACTTTGGTCACTTGGATCTGTAAAGAGAGCTTGAGTAACAAGTTCAAACTCCTCGGAAAAAATCTTCTGCTTTGACTCAAAACCTTTGCTCTGCTGGATTAGTAGGTTGGACAGAAGTATACTGCCAAAAAGGTGAATGAGAACGAAATTGTAGCAAATATATGATTTTAATATAAGTACCAAAACCAAAAAGTAAACATAATAGTACACATTGAGACAAATATACCAAAGGGTAATACAAGGAATCAAAATATCCTTTGCCAATTACAGGAAGTAAGCATATTTACAGCATATCGATTTACAGTACAAACTACATAAGACTAAACACACTTTCCATTTGCTGTTTAACATGAAATGTAATCACATTACTATAAAGTGGCATCTCAGTTTGCCAGTAATTACTGCTTATTTCACTACAGCTGAAAATTAAAGGTGGAGCAGACTACATTTTCTTCACTCAAATGGCTGTTACATCTATTTTCATTAACCATAATCCATGGTCACCAAGTATAGGTTTAGAACAAAAAATTCTAACATCACCACATGGACATATGAAAAAGTCAGAGTAAGCATTTAGAAAGAACATCCATAAATAATAATTGTATACAAATCATCCTGAAAGAATGACCATAAATAACAATTGTATACCTACGATTATGCCATGCCGAGTAATTACTGAAGTTCTCACTGATTTTATCCATGGTATACTTTAGCTCCTCCTCATCTGGCACGCCCATGAATCTTGAAAGGAACCTGTAAAAGGGGGGAATCAATCCAAACGGACTATCTTGAATGTAATCTCCAACAACAGAAACCTACCTTCGGTAATTCCATCCATGGAAATTCCTGGCGTCCACCTTCAACAGTTTATCCAAGAGGCCAAACTCACGTTTGAAATCCACGGGCGCTAGCTTTTGGTTTAGCAACCACTTCCGGTGATACCAAGCCCCATAGGACTTTGGGTTCTGCCTTAAAGCAACTTCAACCTTCGAAATTCCAAATTTGAACATAATCTAAGTAGGCAATTGCAATGGGCGCCAGAAATGACTAAAGCACAAAAACACAAGACCTCCACTTCTAATTGATACAATAGTGTTGATGGATCAGAGAACTAACCACTCTCAGCTCATCATCAACAGCAGACTTGATGGCCTCCGGGTCAGAAAGCTCCTTCACATTGTGCTGAAACGCAAGCTTCCGGTAGTTCCATGCGGTGTAGGCCTCTGGATTTATCTCGAGCAACTTGAAGCTCAGCCCAATTGCCTCCTTGGTGTACCTACAGGCCCCAGCCATTGATCAAATAAGTCCAGTGTGTTATCTAGCACTACTCCGGTAGACTCAATTTGGGATCTTTACTTTGTCGTCAAGGAAAAAGGGTGAAATTACAACTGGGATATGGCATCCAATCTTTTTCTTTGCTATATGACTGATTAAACGACAGATAATTTGCAATTATATGCATCAGGCCAGGTAATGAGGACCTCCAAGAACAATGAGGCAACCGCGGGCCTTCATAGCTTCAAGAAAGAACCAGATAACACAGCGTGAACGAAGCAATAAAAATCGCATCATTCCTCCGCAGGAAAATCGCCAAGCCATGAGAGCTAGCCGAAGCTCTATCATGCTAATCCTATAGGTTGCCAGAAACGACCGGTGCTAGATGGAACAAGAAGAGAGGGAGGAGGGTGTAGGTACGGGCGGGCGGCGGCTTACGTGCGGGCATGGTGATTGTGCAGGACCTGGGCCTGGAGGTCCCGGAGCTTGGCGGCTTTCGCTGACGCCGCCTCCTCGTCTTCAGGCTTGGCCGGGCGCCGCGGCCGGCCGTGCATCGCCTCCTCCCTCCGTCGCCGGCGCCGCGGGTGCGGGGGTTTGGATCTCGGGTAGAGCGGCTGTTCACCCTTCCAAGTAGGCCCCTTCTTTTCCTCCTGGGACCTACTACAAGTAGTGGGCTCGTACTCGTGCTGCTGTCGTGTACACTTGGTTAGCTGGGTTCAGATTTGCCCGCGCCACCGCCCTCCTCGGCGGCCGCCGCTGCCGTCGCCCCGGCGCTAGCTGCAGTGGTTCTTCGTTGGAGCCGTCGCGCAACACACTACTATGCGCTCCTCTCTTCTTACCTCGACGGGAGCGGCTGGCACGGCCGACGGGTGTGACTGACAACTGGCGTGCAGGTGCATCACTGCAGGCTGCAGCAGCGGCAGACGAAGGCGGGATGTTTCTATCTGATATTCTGATGCACATAGCTCAGATCAACGCATCTCAATTTTGTTGGCGACAACAGAAACGAAAATGCTGGAAACTGGCAGTTCTTGCTCATGGTCGAATCTGTCCCAGAACAATCTATTGCCCAATTGCCTAGAAGCAACAAATAACAGTTTACAAGGTGATCAGATCATCCCTACAGCTCAACAACCCTGTCTCGGTACAGCGCTACACAGCTTATACTGTAAGCATTCCAATAACTTTATTTGTTTTATTGATTTTGAAAGGAGGAAAATTTGCAGCGTAACTTCAAGATCACTCTTCATCCTTGCCAGCATAGTAATGTCGGAATGTGCACGAGAAGTCTTTGAGTTCACAGCCATCCTCGCACAGCTTTCGGTAACTGCAGAGAGCACCAGCTTAGTCGCAAAGCAATGGAGAGGGAGTAATATCTTGTTCTACCTAGGTCATCTCATGAAAAGACAGAAAAAGAGGGCGAAAGTGTTTTACATTTCAAGTGCCTCGGAACCCATAGGGCATTTGAAGCCAACTCCAGATGCAGAAGCCATGGCCAAGTCCAAATCTTTAGCCTGCAGAGAGATGTAAACAGTGAACAAAGTTTAATCTGGTACTCCACTCAAGCAACCTTTCTCTATGGGAAATCAGTAGGAGACTAACTTATCAGTACAAGTTACTCCTTCTGTTCCAAATTGTAAGTTTTTCTGGCTTCTTAAGGTACATAGCTTTTGCTATACACATAGATTAAATACTAGTAAACACTGTTCCCAAGCAACTCACTTGTATATTCATAAGAGTATAATAGACACATCAACTCATCCTTAGGTAAAGTAATTCTGCTTAATATTCTACAGTAGAATTTGATCAAGTGTCAATTTGTACCATTAGTTTGGAAGTGAAACCACCGCTATAGTTCCTTGATGATGGTACACCTTCCATAACTCCAGGAACTGGATTATATGTATCGCTGTTGAAATCGACAAAAACGAAAACCACTTAAAATTAAGATGATGCAACATACAAGCTGAAGCTAAAAAACTAATCTCCATACTTCATGACACCCAACTGAATCATGGTTGTTACACTTCCAATTCTTTAGGAAGCAAATCCCAAAGTCGCAGCAGCTTAGACTGCAATAAGATGATTAGATGAGCAAAGGAGACAATACCTACTCCAGCAGCGAGCGCTTGAACAGTTGAAAATGTCTGTAAGAGTGGTTGCTTTGATCCCAAGATTCTGACCAAGAGCCAAGGCCTCGGAGACCCCAAGCAAGCTGATTGCCATTGCCATGTTGTTACATATCTTTGCAGCCTTAAATACCCAATATCAAGAGTGAGCCGGAATCATCATCACATTGAGAATTTTTTTGAAGAATGAAGGTTAACAAAACTTGCCGAGCCATTTCCAGCCCCACCGCAGTAGATTGCCTTTTTCCCCATTGCGAGAAGTAAGGGCTTGGCTGCTAAATATGCTTCCTCAAGACCACCCACCTGTACATCATTGCTTGAAACAAAAAATAAATATCAATTTCTTCTATCTTAATGTAATAGTTTTTTAGTCTGACCAAACAGCTACAAGTTATTATGATGAAAAGCAAGAAATAATACCATGAAAGTTAGCTTGCCAGCTTCTGCAGCAGGAACACCTCCGGACACTGGAGCATCCAGAATCATAGGGCTTTCAGCGTAACCTGAACATAGTATTAATTGATGCCAGTAACAGAAATAATTAGCATTCATTTAAACTCAATTGAAGTTTTTACATCACAACTGCCAATAGTAGATTATGGCTCTAATGTTATATATGGTGGAACTTAACCTTTCTTTTCTTTTAAATGGCATCTTGATATGGCTGTCGATATCTTTCTTGATGTTTGTGGATCAACTGTTGATGAATCTATGTATAACCATGGTCCCAGGCGTTCGCCCCCAAAAAGCAAGCCATTGGGTCCATTGTATACATCTAAAACCTGAAAAGCATCCATGACCATCCTAAATCAAAGTTCCAGGAAAATAAGCTATATTTGTAAAGATGGTTGGATATAGGACATGCTACACAGAAGGATAATTACCGTCTACTTCTGATGTCATGATCCAAATGGTTGATCAAGAATTGATTTGACAAGAATAGGAGTTACAGAAACAATCTACTTACATGAGAAGATGAAGGAAGCATGGTAATTATGACATCACTCGACTCTGATACTTCAAGTGGAGACTGTTTTGTGGGGATTCCATCGTCTGAGAATTTCTTCATTGAATTTTCATTTCTGATAGATAGATTCAATGTTTATCGAATGAGAACCAGAAGAAAAAAATCAATGAACTCTGTGACCCATATCATGAACAGTGTATGTAAGGATAGGCAGGAACTTACATATCATGAACAGTCACTTTGTATCCAGCCGTGATCAAGTTCCTTGCCATATGGGAACCCATGTTCCCAAGTCCGATGAATCCGACATTCTGAAAAGCACCAGCGACTCATGAAAACCAGCATTGCACATCGCGATGCCCATGTCTACCTTAAACAATGACTAGGTGAATTGAGTCAGAAAAAAATGTCAAAGCTTCTTCCTTTTTAATTAAGTCATGGTAGACGTTGCAATTATAGTAGAAGTAGTCTGTGCAGCCAGAAAAACCCATCTAGACATCATGATTCGTGGATATGGATAGTCACCTCCAGCTGAGACGGAAATGCAGCAGAAGAGAAACCCCGGAGGCAGCTCCAGCCCCATCTCTGCAACTTTGAGCCGACTCTCCATCCGAACCCCACCATTGCCTTCCGCAAGGCTGCAACAGGGGGCGGATAGGGATAGGACTCAGCTTGTGCCGCGCAGGAGAGGAATCCGCAACCGCAATTTACTGATGCAGAGAAAGGAGTGGGAAAATGAATTTGATTGCTGGCAACAAATTAACCAATCCATCCAAGCAAGTTATGATTCGTTACCAGCGAAAGCGCTAGACCCAACCCGACGCAGTCCACTCTGATTCAATCCACTACCAGTACAGCGGGGGCAGGAGGGGCAGGGGCTTCGGCGACGATGGGTGCCCGGCGTGCTTGGGTGGAAGGAAGCTGGAAGAGGGTTCGGTGGCGTGGGCGCCGGCGCCGCCGAAGAGGAAGCTGGAATGGGGTAACCGATGCTCTCGTGAGGAGAAAATTGCATATTTAGGACGCGTTTCGCAGGTTGATGACCGCAATGGTTGATTTTATAAAAATAACCCTCCAAACATTGAATTTTTTATTTTCATGACATGATGTGTATTTTCCCTCTTTTTTTTATCTTTATACACGTATTTGCCATCTAAAAGAACATCTTTGCCCTTCTGTGATTTTTGCTCCTTCTGTTCCCGTCGGATGTACGTACATACTTCATGGCCGAGACCGGTGTGCCTGGGCAGGCTTCGTGGCCGCCGCCGCCAAAGCCTAGGGCCAGCGCGGCCAGGCCGGGGTCGTCCGATCCTTTCATAGACGCCGCGCCTCCGTCGAGGCAGGTCGCGAAGGGAAGGGCGGCGCGACTTTGTATGATCGGGCGCGGACAAGAGACCTGGGACATGTCAATTTCACAGAAGGGCAAATTCGTCCATCAAGGCCACAAATACATGGCCAAATACCACAAAAGAGATAAAATACACATAAGTCAATGATTGGAGTCCTAAAACTGCTAAGAGCGACGATTAGAGTACCCAATATGCAATTTTCTGAAAAGCGGAGGTAGTACTAACTGAGTTCCTCGTTGCTCTTGTCGTTGAGCAGTTTCAGCATCCGTAGCGTACTAACACACGCAATTGGGAATCTTTATAAAATCAAGAAAGCCTTTTGCAACCAGTAGGTTATCCACACCCACTCCACTGCGTTATCCAATTAGCGTCGTGTTCGCTTGGCTTATAAGCCGTACTTTTTCAGCGAACGAATAATATTTTTCTCTCACAATAAATCAGCCAACAGTACTTTCAGCCATAACTTATCAGCCAAGCGAATAGGGCATAGAAAGAGATCGGACTGTTCTGCAGTCGTTGATTCTATCAGCTGCAAATTTATTTCGTAGAGCAAGATGTACTGTATGCTACACTAATGTTTGTCTGATCTCGCTGAATCTAGTAGAACTCTCACAACATTGAAGGAAACAGTTTGGGATTTGGGTAATTTGATCCTTACAAATCTGAGATTTGGATACAATAAATCAAATGAGATTTAGCTGCATTTGGATGTGCTTATTACTTTCATTGATAAGCGATAATACTTCTCATCTGCTCTGCTGAACAAAGTACCTTGTAAAGATTTGTGCTGGAAGAAGTGTCTGCCAAATTCATACATGTTGCCTGTAGATGGCTTTACTAGTAGAACCTGCAGAACAGACATCTTCTGGAGAACCAGCATCACTTGGGTATTTCAATCGCTCGCATTGCATACAATTCTGTAGTTCTCAGTTGAGACAATTGTATCACAATTCAATCTGAATATTTCTTCCGTGCTGACTAGCAAACCTCAATACTAGAAAGCCACACTTCATTTATTTTTGTATATCTATAATTCTATATGGGGATATACTCTCAAGTCCCAACACACACTTAGCGATGTACACTACTTCTGTAATATCAGATCTTCTACAACAACAACAACAAAGCCTTTAAGTCCCAAACAAAGTTGGGATAGGCTAGAGTTGAAACACAGCAGAAGCCATCAAGGTTCAGGCACGTGAATTTATTAACCTTAAAATGAATAACCCATACATTTGGTGTCAAACTACTAGACTAATAATACACAAACATATCATGTTTTGGTTCATCTATGCGTGATGTATAATAACTATATCTGTGAGCACCCTCCACGTGGCATATGAAGATACATGTTTTTCCAGGTTTCAGCTTCTTGTGACTGGTGCCGAGTTGAATGAGCTAAACTTACTGTACAGACAGCTGTTCACACCCATAACATTTCATAATCTGCAAAAAGATAACATTAAGATAGGAGGTGAGCATATTAGCATGCATTCGCACAGATCATGGGAATTTTTGCACTGCTCGAGAAAAAAGAAGAGAAACCACTACTTAAATTTGCTGCTGACAAACCTGAATCATCATACAGCATTGTTCCCAGAATTTGGATCGTGCCCTTGCTGAGAACCATCGTTGTCATTTGCACCATCATTCCCAGATTCTTGATGCTGTGCAGCATTGGCAGCCTGCTGAGCCACACGGTGATTCCTCCTAGCTCTCCACCTCAAATACTCTACTAGCAGAGAGTTCGTACTAATAGCAATACCGAACCCAGTGAATGAGGAGAGTAAGACTGCAAGGACTGGATTCACTCTCAACTGCATGTGATCACAAGACAATAATCAGCATCACACAAACACTTATCTGCAACAGATGTCACCCAAGAGGAGTTTCGTACCACATTGTAGAAGATATGAGCAAGCAGGATAACGATAGCAAACTGGAATGAAGCATAGGCCCATAGATAGCTCTTCGACACTGTTGGAGCAAACAAAAGATGGGTTTTACACTTAAACATGAAGTGACAAGAGAAGTTCACCCAGTGCAGAGAGCCCCCGCTCTGTGCGGGGTCTGAGGAAGGGTGTCGGTGGCAAGCCTTACCCTCGCCTGTGCAATGCGAGGAGACCGCGACTCGAACCCGGGACCTTCCGGTCACAGGCGGTAAGACTCTACCGCTTGCACCAGGCCCGCCCTTCACAAGAGAAGTTCACCAAATAACATAAATTCAACCCTAAGAGAAAAAAACAGGTGCGATTTAGTTTTAGTTATCTGCACAAATACTTAAATCAAGTACGCTGTTTCCTTAGCACTTGTTACAGATGGGGGGCGGATAATGGTGAAGTACTATATCTTAAGTCTCTAATCTCTTACTAAACACTGAAATGACTTCTACCTTTCTCCATAAAATAACTAGTTTTTTTTACACTGCAAGTGTTTATTATAACAGCATGAAAGGTAAAAGATGAGGGTACAATTGATCACCCATAGTTGATGCTATCATTGAAGAAAGGAGGCCTAACACGCATGAGAAAGGCAATGAAATTGCCAGTGCATGTGACTGCAAATTAGTAACCTGTTCCAATGAAAGACAATGTTACAAAAGAAACGGGAAGAGAAGTACAGTTGAACATTCAAATGCACTAGTAAATGAAGTAAGCAAGGGACACAAACCAGAAGTTGTTCCAAGAAACAGAAGTACGCAAGCATGCTAACCATCACCAGAATTGGAATGTCCTGCCAAAATCTGTTAGGAACTGAAGTCAGATTGTACCAAGCATGCAAACCCATCAAGAAAGAAAACAAAAACAATACAGTTGTATCTCCATATCATGATAGCAGTAAAAACATCATAGGACCATCAATGTAGCATGATAGAACCCTCTCCGTCTCCCTCTCTCTCAACTATCTTTGACTTATTTTATTTTTTGGACAAAGCTAATCTTACCTGTATTGTTGAGCTGCTCTCTGCTGAGCAGCATTTGCTACCCGCCTGTTTGCAGTTTGAGTTGGTATTCTCAGTAACGTCACTGGCAGATTCTGAACTTCTTGTTTGCAGACATCACATATCTTATTTCCCTTGATGCTAAACCATTTGACAGCACAATCTTGGTGTGCAAGGGCAAGTTCTCCTTTGCAGCTGCACTCCATTTTAAGTGTTTCCCCTCCTTCGTTGAGCTCAACAAAACAAATTCTGCAGACTGCCTCTTCTTCAGGAATATCTTCACCTCCATCTTCAGGGACTGTCAGGAACTCAAAAATGTACTCAGATGAGCACATGGTGCTTTTTTGAAGCAAGATTCAATTTGTGTAGTTATCATAGTAGAGGATTGTAAGAGTTTATACCATCGATTGTTTCTTCAATTACATTGTTCGATGTGGTTGCATCGACTGGCACAGGTCGTGGGGTTGTTGGAATCACACGGATGACGCCTATTGAATCTGCCCTCCTCAAACTTCTGTTTTTGCGATTTCCTGGTACTGAAAGTGAACGCCTAATTTTTGCTTCAACTCCTTCATTCTGTTAGTAGTGTAAAAAACATCTTAATGCACTGGGAGTAGACTATTTAGCATTACCTGGTTTCATGTAAAAAGGTATTTAAGTAGCATTTATGGGCACAGCTAAGCAGGAAAATATATGTACTTACAGATGTAGTTGGCAGGGTATCTAATTGATTTGCAGGAGATGCAGCCTTGTCAGTAGTTCCTACAGGCGTGACTGGAAGAGAATGGGTCCTTTTTGCCGATAATGAGCTAATGACCTTTCTAAAAGAAAATGATCTTGCTGTGGTTGGGTTATCCTGCTGCCCTTCAGATGACGTCCCAGGATTTAGAAGGACCACTCGATCACCTTCCTGGGCTGAACTCCTTGCTCTGAAACTGTTCTGAGGATTGATGTTCTTGATAGATGATTTTGTTCTCGTTGAATTAGGTCTCGGTGGCAAACCCACTCTCGTTGAACTGGGGCTGGGGGATATAGTAACTCTTGTCGAAGTAGGTACACTGGTATCCAAGGTCCTAGATGGTATTTGCAAAGAAAGGTTTGGCCTTCGCGAATTGTGCCCAGGTGTAGTTTGGGCATTGCCATCCTGAACCGGTGCCTACACAGTCAAGTAGAAAATACATCCAGCAACCATGGTCAAATAAGCCAGATAAAACTTGGTAAATGAGTAAGACGAAAAGAAGAGGAATCCCCATGACTTCCATGAAAGAGGGGCTTCATTTACCCATGACACCTCATCTAACTCATGGGATTCATCACTCCTCTCATTCTCGATTATGAACAGATGGAGTGACAACATCTGACTGCTCCTTCAGGCACAGCTGTATGCTGTATGCCCCCCGGAGTCTAAATTTACATGTCGACAAAAGAAAGGAAACTCAAAAGGAACGAAACTGAAACATGGCCATCAAATCTTCTATTGGTATCCCTAATTCCTATTGTCTGATTGTGGCATAACCACATGGACATATCGTAAATTTAAAATGCTAGTTTCTTTAAGGTGTAATCTAGAGAATTCATGTGGTAAGATGCTGAATCTGGCCTGGTATTACATTAGTCAGAATATGTTGAGCTAAATATACACGCAATTGAATTCTACAACTATACTTGTGGTGACATAATCACAGAGTTACTTAGTACATGGAAATTTAGACAAGTGATACACTACATCAGTTTCGTCAGAAAGGTAAAGGGCCTCAAAATAGAATCTAGTCCAATTTTAGCTCATGTGACACAGTGGCAGTACAAGGGAGTCAAGTTAAGCGAACAAGAACAATCTATCACTGCCGAGCGAAAACTGCCTGATGAAGCAAAGCAGGAAATATCCGATCTTCTGGTCCTAATCTAGTTTGCCAAAAAGAAAAAAAAAAGAGAAGACGGAAAAAAAACGAAGCACAAAATCGCAGAACAAAGATTCGCCCAGCTCGGCCATAATTCACCAGCAAAGGTCGCATCTTTGGAGTTGTAAATGTAAAGTTTAAATCCAAGCAGATGAGAACAAGTAGGTGGTAATCGGTGCCGCGTAGTCTTCGCACGGGAAGCAAGGAATTGGCAGAGCACGAGCCAAAAACTGTGCGAGAAATGGAGAGGGGAAATCTCAGGGGAGTAGGGCGAAGCAGGGCGTATGAATCTCACCGCGTGATCACCGGAGTCCGGGGACGGCCCCTCGGCGTTCTCCATGTAGGATTCGATGAGCTCGAGGGAGAGCCGGCAGAATCCAGAGAGAGAGAGAGAGAGAGAGAGAGGTGGGCAAGTGGTGTGGAAGTTCTTGCTGAGTTGTTGGGCAGCAGCTCAGCGGGAGCAGTCCGCGAGGTGAGGGGCGCTTTTGCAAAGGCCTTTCTTGCATTTGGCTCTCCGGCTTTATGCTTTGTCCCATTTTAGTCATTTAGACGTGGGCAAATGATACGAGATTTGGAGGGATATCTAAAGGAGAGAAAATATTTGGTGGAAATCACCTCGGACCATTTCAAACTTTCCCTTTATCTTCAATTTTCATCCTGAGCTACAAGACCAGATACTTTTCACCCTAAGTATCAGTGTATCACTCCCCTGTTTTGAAAATGATTCAGAACTTTGCCTTGACCTTCCATCCTGAACTACCACATGACAATTGAAATGGTGCCGTTTTTTCGCTCTGTTCTCAGCACTACTTCAGTAGTACTTTTCAGCGAACGAACAATGTTTTTTCTCACACGAATCAACATTCAATATACAATATACAACAGTGTTCAACAGTATCCTACAGTACCAAAAAGAAGGAGTGGAGCCCCAGGAGCTAGGCCAAACACGCCCTAGATCTCTTTAGTTTTGGTCGAAGTAAAATTTCACTAACTTTGATCAAGTTTTTATAAAAATATATATTGAAATATACAAAATCAACAAATGCACTATCAAGAAATAATTCGGTGGATTTAATGGAACTAACATAATGTTGTGGATGTTGGTGCATTTTCATATGAACTTTTTTTAGGTGAACAGGAAGGGTTTTTGGCCCCTACTGAATAGATTAGAAAAAAAAATTAAAGGAGGAGCGCTAAAAGGAAAAAAAACGCCTGGAACCAGCTGCCCGAAGCCAGCAGCTCCTGAAGAGACGGAAGGAGAGGAATTTTCATACAAACTTAGTAAAGTTGGAGAAACTTAACTTTGAAAAAAAAAATAAAATGGCATATATTTTGGAATGGATGGAACATAATGGCACTGCTCAAATACTATATCATTGGTTTAAAAATATAAACCATTTTAATTTTGTCTTAACTTAAAATTTCTCTAACGTTGACCACAATCATGTAGAAAAATTGCACCGACATTTACAACAACGAAATGGTTTTATCGAACCCACCATGAAAAATCTTGATGTTGCATTTATTTCAAACTATAGCTATCAATATACTTTTTCCCTACAGTCTTGATGAAAAGTGAGTGTGTAGCTAAAAGTGAGGTAAGATAACTAGTTTTGTTTTTCAGCCCCCAATGTATTAGATTATTTTAGAGAATCACTTAACATAATCAACTTATAAAACTATGAGTTAAAGGGTATGTTGGTATTTTGGTAAAAAAAGGGTTAGGGTGGCTTGGGTTGGCGGATCATCTCAAATGGATTCACACATGATGCTGCCCTTTTTTATAAGAAAAGAAAAAAAAAAAAAAAAAGAAGTCGAGAGTCCACACATACGAAAAATGAAACGATAGATATTTCAGGTCGGAGGGAGAGGTGACTTGCTAAGAGCAAGTATAATAAGGCTTAGTCAGGAGGCTGCATCATGTTACATGTCATCAAAATCCTAAGTGGAGCAGTGAGAAGATAAGAGAGAGAAGGAAGCGGGCGGTTTATGGAACGTCCGGCTGAATCACGTGTTACGAGATAGAAACGCCTACTCTCAGCCCGGTGCAGGCGATAACTCGGCGCTTGCTTGACCCACGTCCCAACTTCCTGATCCCGTGCGCCGATACTGCCCTCCTAGCTCCCACGCCTGAAGGGCCACACGGGATCCTAGACCGCACTAGATCGTGTATGTACACACATATTAAATGCTCACTTTGTGTTGAGCCAACCTAATAACCGGTTAATGGTTAGCCTATTATATCGTTAGTTAGCTACAGTATTAGCTTTATATGACATGTCAATGTCATACAGCCAACTGCCGGCTAAGTTATTAACCATGCTCTAAAACAGCAAGATACTAATAATGATTATATATGGGTGTGTGCATCTACGGCGAACAAGAATCCGGCCGCTGTGTCCAGTCTAAGAATTATATGCTGTTCTGGTATCTGGTTCCGGTAATAATTAAAATAAAGCTAAGCATGGAGTCGTAAAAGCATGGGTGTCTGTCTGTGGTGGCAGCGGCAGGCAGTTGTCAGGCAGCTCGCGTGGGCGGTTGGAGTTTGACCGGGCTGGAGACGAGACGAGGACGGGGAGGGGTAAAGCCACTAAGCCAGGCAGAGACTCTCGTGCCAACCGTCAGTGTTACTGTGTTAGGTCCGGTGCAAAGCAAAGGTGCAGGCCGGCAGCAGGTCAGGACGGCACGGGACCAGGGTCATCCCGACTTCAGAAATGGCGGCTTCCTCCTCTCCTCTCCTCCACTCCCCTCGTGCGTGAAAGCATACCGCACGAGAAAGAAAGAGAATCTACCCTGGAATTCACCGACATTTTCTTTCCTACGTCCACACCAGCAGCGGCGGATCCCAGGAATAATTTTAAAGAGGGTTAAACAACACATATCTTCGATTGCTGCTTGATCTTAAATCTTAACCCTCTACACTATAGAATTTTATCTAAAAATTCATGGAGGCTCCATAGTAATTCCACTGCTGCGGTATGGGTTAGGGGGGCGTGGTGGTGTACGCCGTGCTGTGCCTGGGGGGCGGCCGCTGCTCGCTCTCCCTGGTGCGCCTGAGCAGCCAGCAGCAACGCTGCAGTGCAGTGCAGTACTGGGTGCCAACAGGAGGCTGATGATGCAAACGCAGAGCTCTTCTTCAGCTGCTGCCGCACCAAGCAAAACACTGCCATTTTCAGGCTCCACGAAGCAGGTGCCAGGTTCGATTTGCTTTTTTGTTTGGTCAGCCTATGCTTGTTGATTTTTGAGCGCCTTTTTGCGTGAAAATTTGATTTTTTTTCACATGGTGGATTTAAGGACTGCACGGATGATGTCGCTGCAGAAGGTGCTGGAGGTGATTCTTTGTAGCACATTTCCATGTATCATGATAACCTCAGTTGCCAGTTGGTGTTGCTCAATTGAATAAAAAACACATAATTGGAGAGAACTTTATATCATTATTAACACATTAGCCGTGCATAAAATATACAAGTATTATGCTTTTTTGTTAGCTGAGTTATTATGTTTCTTAGTATGTGCTCATCTGAATTTCATCTCACTTTTAATAGAGTTATTATATTTATTATTTTGTTGTCTGAGTTATTATGCTCTTTGTTGGTTGATTTGGGTTTATAGATGTCACCGTAGCGTTAATACGGACAATATACTTTTAGGCCCCGGGAAACTAGGAAAATACCCCCACATGCATGCAAAGCCAGAGGGTTGCCATATGTACAATTGTACATGTACCCACTTGCCAGTTGAACGTGCGTGCGTGCTCATCTTCATTATTACATTATTCCGTGCGATGCCGTTTGACACTTTGGGCCTCTTTGGCTACCGATCTACTCCCAGAACACAAAATATTTGGAAATTGCTACGTAATCTGTCAACAGATTTTGTCGGTCTATATCTGTCAAATATTCTTAGTCACTAGATGTGGAATCAACGCGGTGAATCTCTCCCCTTCCGGTTCCGGCCTCGGTGGATCTCTTTTGCTGTGTACTACCATCCATCCATTATCTACCCTAATAATTCACTAACTTTTTTTTTTTTTAAATCCACACCAAAGAACATCCTCCACTGAGAAGCCCCCATCCATCCACCCAAAAAATTATAACTAGAAAAATAATCTATCCTACTAATTCATCAACTTTTTTCTTTGCTAAATCCACACCAAAGAACATCCCCGCTGAGAAGCCCCTATCCATCTGCCTAGAAAATTATACTAAAAAATAACATCTTTAAAATAAACTGTCCAAATTTAATTCTAAGCCCTCTCTCTCCATATCACTCAAATCCAACTGTTGAGATTGTGTGTGTCAACCTCCTCGTCCTTCCCATCTCCCGCGCCCGCGCCCCCGACGCCCCCACGCCCAAGCCTGCGTGCATCCCCACAGTTGGATTCCTCCGTTCTCTTTTTCCCCGATATACAAAACAAAACATCATCCTCTCCTCCCCCTCGCCTCCCTGTCCGGCGGCTAGGGTTCCCCGCCGGTGCCGCTCGCAGGCCATCTCCAGTCCTGCTCGCAGCCCTGGCCCAGGACGCGCGGCAGCGACCCTCCCCAGGTCGAGCGGAACCACGCTCGCCGGCCCGCCCCATGCCGCGTAGCGACGCCCTCGCTGGGACGCACGCGACGCCACCTCCGTGCGCTCCTGCCGGGGCCGCACGCGCCGCCGCCTCTGCGCGCGCCTGCCAGGGCCGCACACGCAGCCGCCTCCGCATGTGGCTTCCTGGGCAGCGTGGGAAGAGCAAACCCGCTCCCGTCTGCGCACGTCTTTGGGCACGCCTTCCTCTTGCGAACCCACCAGACCAACCATATCAGGACTCGGGTGTCAGGGGCGTGCGGTGTCGGAGTTCGCCGGCGATGGGGAGCTGAAGAGGAAGGGAACCGAAGATGGGCTGCTCCATCTCTGGGCTCAACGCGCTCTACGACGCAGCCACAGGCGGCGGCGACGTCTGATCAACGAGCGCTGCTTCCACGTCCTCCAGCCAGATCGGCGAGGGCGGCTTCGGCTTCGTCTACTCGTCAAGGAGTACCAACCTGCCTCAGATGCCGTGCTCGCCAGGTGTGACACCGCCCACATCTCAGGTCACCCGCCCCCCTCGGGAGCTCTTGATTTCATCTTGGTAAATAAATTTTTGCCCGAAATGGAGGAAAATAAGATTTGCGGGTGGTTTTATAGTTCGCAAATTCCCCATTCCTTGATATGGCTAATGTATCTGGAAGGTCTTTCCACTGCTATTCGAAGATGTTGTCACTTAAATGAGTGGAAGTTCCTCAATTCCGCGTCTCTTAATACCAAACTGAATATGTTTCTGTTCGTATTATCTTCAGAAGATGGAACGTAGAAAAAAGTGCTGATACACAGCAAGGAGCAGTTGGATCTGGTGAGGGAGGAGATCAGTGTGTCTTCGTTGTTCAATCACCCCACCCTTCTGCCACTTCTTGATCATGCCATAATAGCCATCAAGGTAATTTGTTCTGCCTTGTTTTTATGTTTTATGCGCCTACGGATGCTATAAGCAATTGAATATTGAGATGCCAAACTATGTGCAGGGTTAAGAAACACATGTCCAATTATTGACTAATTTCATGATGACTACTAGGCATAGTGTCTTTTTTTTAAAAAAAAATCGAGGCCTTTTTGCATCTGATACATATGTCAGAGATGTAGCAATGAAAATGGTTACAAGTGGATAAAGTCTGCCGTAATGTTGTAAGGTCAAATAGTTATTATTATTTTTTGTTAGGGACTTCTGTTTTTACGCAACGCTTGCGGGATCCGGTACCTGAAGAAGAGACGGGAGGCGATGTGCCTGGACTCCAGCAAGGCCGATGGCAACGGGCAGTCAAGCACTACCACGACCAGGAGGAGCATCGGAAGAAGGCCACGAGGCCTGGACTCCAGCAAGGTCGTGGCATCGAGGCGGACGAGGTGACCGTGGGCCTCCGTGCGGTGGGGTTCAGCAAGGGGGTGGTGCTCAAGCAGCGTCAGCGGATGCACCGGAAGCGGCGCCTCGGCGAGGAGGAGCGCGCGGCCATCCTGCTCATGGCGCTCTCCGGCGGTGTCGTGTGCGCCTGACTTCATCCCACCTAGGCTGCTCTGTAGCTGTTGTATGATTGCAGGAAGGATTTTGGTATCACCAAGCAGAGGAGTCGTGTATGATTTTATTATGCTCCTTCCAAGTTCTCACCTGGCTGGAGTTCGAGGCTTTGTGATCAACGATCATATGGAGGTATGCCACTCATTTGTTTGTGCATTTTGATTGATTTGCGCTAATAAGAAGAATTTTTTCATTGATATGTGCTGATTTTGATGGCATTTTCTTGGGAACATGACGGTTCTTTTAGTACAAGAGAGGTATAACTTTGCTTTTGGTGTTTGGAACCTCCCAACAGGATTCATTCATCCATTAAGGAGATGTAAATTCCAAAAATTTAATCCTTTTTCACTGCCACTAATCAAACTCTTGTCGTGCTGCATCTTTCCTGTTGCAATCATAGCAGTAACTGGGACAACAAAATTGTAAATCTTTAATCATTTGCAACTATGATTAGCTCTATGACAAGTAATACGGATGTAAACAACTGTTAAATTCTCTTTGATGTTGTGATAAATAATAAAGACAAATAGCAATCCTTTCATTTATTACATAGGTTATAAATAAGTACCCTTCTGTTACATGAGTGGCAAGCTGCTTCTATTGCTTTGCTGATACATCTTAATTTTTCTTCAAGAAGTTGTATTAGTGTGTTTGATAATCGGCTGTTTGGTGTCAATAGACCAAATGGACTTATTCGTCAATTTGGTGTCGGATTCTACTCAGCTTTCCTTGTTGCAGAGAGGGTATGGAATGCCTCTTCTATGATGTGGAACAACCGATGAACCTGCATTACTTTTCAAAATTGATCTATTATTCCAGGAGATTCTTACAGTTGTTTTGCAAGCTGAAAATGTTTCTACATCTTGTTAGTAACTGAACATTCTTTGTCATCATACACATTGTGGTGTCTACTAAAAGGTGGTATGATTGTGGTGTCTTACAGTTCGCATGATTAAGTTACTAAATATATCTTTCTCTGCAGTTTCCAAGATACTTGAGCTTTGTGAAAGGTGTAGTTGACTCAAATGGTCTTCCTCTCAATGTTTCTCGTGAGATCCTTCAAGAAAGTAGAATTGTAAGTTCCCATTAGATAATTCTCATATAGTCTATTTGATTAATACTTCCTCTATTTTTAATGTATGATGTTTAGAACAAGCTAATTTTATTCTTCAATGCAACATAGCTGCATCCATCCGTAATTGTATGGACCATATCATGCTTGTTACCTGCAGAGAAGATTTGGGTAGAAATGTGCTTCGCTCACACCTTGCTGAACATTTGCCACGGAGATCACTGCCACCAAGACATACTTATTTAGGCCTCTGTATCTAGGTTACAGAAGACGATTAGAAGAAAATATACTTATTGTACTTCTAACCCTCGAGTATGTCTTGTGAAGTTATCAATGTATTTCAAATGAGATTAGTGCTAATATATCTAACTCTATGTATCATTGTTTTTTAGTGAAACTTAAACATACAACATCTACGCTTTGTTACGATGCATATATTATCTTTTAAATGTTTGATTTGTACTACCAAAGGTCGTCGTAGCGTTAGCATTGATCTAAAAAAAAATCAATTATTTGGTTGTTTTCATATGCATCTTTGAATGGAAGCCGTGACGTTAGCACGAGCATTATACTAGTGCGAGATCGATGAGCTTAGACTTGCCTTTCAAGAATGATGGGATATGTACTGATATAATCACTACGGGTGAGAGACGATGAGACCTTCACGACCATGGCATTGGCATCAACCTACTCTTCTAGCATCATCTTGTCTTTTAGTTCTCCTTTTCCACACCTGTATACTATACATCTTAGACTTATAATGATTCTCGTAATGGTTATGTTTCTCTTATAATCTGTTTTTTTTAGCTTATTTTTTTCGGTTAGAAATAGTGTTTTTCTCTCACAATAAATTAGCCGAAACAGTATTTTGTCTTGTTTTTTCAGCGAAGTAACGGCCCCAGTAGGCCTTGTTTGGTTCCGCGTCGGCGCCGCGTTTCAGCGGGAAACGTGAAAAAAAAAATCCCACCGAACGGCCTTGTTCGACACGCATTGGACGGCCGCGCACTACGTGAAAAGCATGCCGATGGACGGGGAGCGGCCAAAACGCAAATCGCGGGCCAAAAGCCGAGTTCGCTTATACGCAGCCAGCTTCCGCGGACCTCGGTCCCACACAGGGCCATAGCGTGAGTCGTGATGAGAAAACCTGTAGGAATTTATCAAGACTGGCATGACCTTTCTCATCGAAACAAACAGGCCCTTAGTGCTTCGAAAAGACTGAATGGAAAATGCTCCAGCATTTTGACCTTTTGGTCATGATCTACAAACAGTAACAAACAGGCCGTGTTTGCTTCGGACTGAATGATTCGCTCCAGCATTTTGCCGGATTCTACGGCGCCGTGTTTACACCGATTCATACATTCTACACTGTTCATATTTTTAAGTTTTTATTTTTATTTGGTAATAATTGTCCAATCGTTGACTAATTAGGCTCAAAACGTTCGTCTCGTAGAGTACAACCAAACTGTATAATTAGTTTTTGATTTCGTCACATTTAGTACTCCATGCATGTACCACAAATTTGATGTGACGGGGAATCTTCTTTTTGCATAGTGCCAAATTCTGGAAAATGGGAGAACTAAACATGGCCGTAATCATGGAGCTCTGTCTGCCTAAAAGCAAGTTGCTGCAAAGTCGGAACGACGACCATGATGGAGTGTCTGGAATCTGACACACTCACTCAGCCAGCAGCTGCTTAACACTAAGCCAGCAGCTGGTTTAAAACTTGGTTAACACTAATTGTGTGAGAAAAAAATCTTTGTTCCTAAAAAAAAAAAAAAAGCCGAACAAGTCATTTTTAAGACAAGCGAACGGGCCTAACACTAATTTGCGCAGGGTAGCTTTATTTGGGGACTGGTTGCATTGGCTGTGTGTGCAAGTGACGATAGAACGACGGCAGAGCGGTGAGAAAGCAGGCGACGCCAGAACACGACGTGTAGGCACGTGAGAGGCCGACGCTCTCTCCTCAGATGTCCGATCCAATCCACACGTATCAAAAGAGATTAACATAGAAAATTGGTTCATTTTCCGCTCCAGTTTATACGGATCAGGAAGAACTAGCCTATCAAACCGTGCTGTCGCACGGGTTAGAATCATATTGGTTAATAACGTTAAATATCAACTAATAAAAATATTTATATTAAGTTCTATGTTTTTCTCTTTGCTCATAATCTTTCATAAAAGATATAATAGATACTGTGTAGTCTCTATCCAGTTATGAGAAGCTATCAATTACTAATATTTTTCATTCACATAGATAGTTTTTCTCTTTGCATGTCACCTATGTGTACCTTCAACAGGCATTAATTGAGAACTTAGCTTAAACTATGCTGGATCTTGTTGTAGCACATATCTTACGACTCATGACTCTAAATTTTACCTTTTAAATTTGAATCTTATGGATTACTATAGGTTTTCTTTATCCTCGGGTTAAGTTGAAACTCTTGTTCTGGTTATATCTTTTATTTACTCTAATTTTTTCCTTTTAAAATAAAATGAATTTAGGTCATAGATTGTGCTCTTAAGAGCTACAATGGCATAAACAATTATTTTAAGTCTACACCAAGTTGCTTAAGATAAGGAGTAGAGTTAAGTGAGATCTAGGAAGGGGTAGGAGTGCTAAACTCAAGAGGATATCAATATTTAATCTTTATAATGACTATTTACTCCAAAGAAATCTCATAGCCAATAAGATATAGCCACATGTAGTCTGCACTAACATCCACCGCTTCGCAAAAGTTAAAGAATTATATGTGCAGTAATTGTTATAGTATCAATATGAATGTCAAACATTTAAGTTAAAATGTATAAATTAATTAACAACTTACTGTATTATATGTATTTTTATTAATATAAATTTAAATAATTTGTCAAGATCATTAATATATGAGTCATTAAGAAAAAAATCACGAATGCTATAACATAACATATATATATATACCGCTTTTGCATGCACTTGTACTTGAACTGCATGATGACACAACATGAACGTTTACTTTAACAAAAATTTAGTATATTAATATTAATATTAATATTAATATTAATAAAAGTGGATAATGTAAAAATATATATAGGCTTTACAATTGTTTAAACACTTTTTTGTTATCGATGACGTTGATAATTTAGATATGGATTTCAGACGATTTTTTCTTTACATGATGATTAAAGTGGTAATTTAGATGCAAATTTAAGGGGTTATATAAATTATCTATCATAATAGTAGGTGGGTAATTAGATGCAAAATTTAGGTTTACTTTTGATCATGTTTCTTAATTAATGGCATTGTTGGGTAACTTGAATATATATTCATGTTATTTTACAAAATCACAGATGTAGGTAATTATTTAGAAAATAGATCCAATGGCTATTATTGTCAATGGTGATTGGAGTCTATCAAATTGATAACCAGATGTTTCTGTTTTTGTGGGATTTCTAGGCTTTATTTTTTTTATAGCGAGTCTGTGAGAATTTATGTGGAGGCTCCATTAGCTATCTGTAGTTAGAATCTCTAGGCTTTCTCTTTTTTCTAGCTTAATATGTATTTAGTTGAAACCTAAACTTAAGTTATATAAGCACTTGTTGCATCCCTTTCTACGACATCATGAATGTATAGTTTAGCCTTCAACCTTTTAATTTAGTTGTTGCATTTTCTATCCTAATGTTAAGTTGAAACTCTAGTGCTTATTGTATCTTTTATTTAAATATCTTTTATTAAGAAATAGGTAGGTCTTAGGCTACACTATTATTTCTTACCATGGCAAAATAATCTTGCACCACAACAATCAACATGTTGAATTTTTTATATCACATAATTGTATTTGTAGTAGTATTCTTTTATTAATTCTAGATTGCTTAAAATTAAATTAATAATATTGATGTGACAAAACATTTTAGTACAAATTCAGAAACTGATTTAAAATAATAACTTATAGAATTCATTCATTTTAAAAGTATTAATATAACTTAAAGTAATTGTCCATGGCACTGTTATGTGGTTTGTTAAGGAATATTTTTTACGTTTCATATGCTATTAAAAGAAATAATTATCCTTATGTATACATGTTTACTTGTCTATATGGTGGAAGCTAGCTATATCATACTTTATAAATATTGAATTAGTATTTGTAATATCTTATATTAGTATTTATATGTCCTACTTCTATCCCAAAAGGATGCATCTTCTTGGCCTCGGCCTCCAGCTTGGCAGCGACGGCCTTACGCTCACGTAGGGCGCGGGCAGCGACGGCTGCGGCCACCTCTGGTTGGCCACGTTGCTCGATACTCGTCAAGCGATTGTTGATGGAGGTGAACTGGCCCTTGATGTCATCGAACTACGTGTGAAAATCAGTGACGAGCTTGTCAAATGCGGCCTTGAAGTCGCCGTTGGCACCCATGGCAGCGGCATGGGATCGAACCGGTCTCCGAGATACCAGGTGTAAGGGTGCTCCTAGGGAGGGGGCTGATGGCTACGGTGGAGAGGGGCTGGCGGCTAGGGTTGGCAGCGTGGGAAGGGAGACGGCGTAGGTAGAGGAGGCGGTAGGCGTAGAGAGGGAGAGAGGGAGATAGGGGAAGGAGCAATCGTTCTTCTATTGCTTGATTAGATTGATTACATCCTCCTTGTATTTATAGTCCATATTGGACTTGTATCCCAAGCAACCACAGGAGATCCTTATCGATTGGATTCTCTCTTCCATGACAAACCAAACTCTAATATGGTAAACCCTCTAATCCAATCCCTTCTGGATGACGATGGCGGCGAGGGCGACAGCACCTGTTGGGTATCGATATTAGGGATACCCGGAGGAAGGAAGTTAACAGCCACGAACGTTAATTTGCCCGGACTGTCCAAGACGTATTTAAGGTCTAGACCGACCCCGAGGGCACGGGCTCCGTCTTGCCTGACCCCGAGGGTGCGGGTTCTGTCTCGCCCGATGGGGATCCATACCGCATCCAACCACTACGGGTTTAAGTGTATGACCCCAGGGTCAAACTTCTGACAACGAAAGGGAAGCGGGCATGTCTCGACATGACCCGTGGCCGCGACGAACCATACCTGGGGGCTCACGTCGCCAACAGTGTCAGGCGTGCCGACGCTATGCTGCCTAATCCCCGTACGGCTTCTAACAGGAGTACCTGTTGACCACGCCGCCCGTCAAAACAGAGAGGAGCGCCACGACCGGCTGACGACACCTGCGTATAGCGCTAGTGACAAACAGGGCCACGACTTGGAGCCATCCCCGTCATCATCTATAGGACTAGTGGGACCCACATAAAGGAGATGAAGGACATCGTTACCCAGGAGGCCTTCTTCTCCCTCGCTTTTCTCCTTTTCTCTCTTTCTCTCTCTGTAACCTGCGCCTTCCCCTTCATCTATAAAAGGAGAAGCAGGACGGCCCAT